CAGGACCGGACCTGCTCCTGGACCCCGGTCCAACAGCAGGATCGAACCTGCTCCTGGACCCAGGTCCGACAGCAGGACCGGACCTGCTCCTTGACCCCGGTCCGACACCAGGACCGGACATGCTCCTTGACCCAGGTCTGACACCAGGACCAGACCTGGTTCTGATGGATCAATGTGATGAAGACGAGTCGATCTGTGGTTGAAGAGGCGGCGGGTGATGAACGGTGGTTCTGTGGTTCTCCGTCCACACGGTGGTGAACCTTCAGGACGTTTCCACCTTGAACTCGTGGTGTTGAGTCGGTACCAGATCCAGCTGTGACGGTGGCGCCATCGTTCACGTCAAACAGCTGTTCTGGGTTTGCTCAAAGGGTCAAAGGGCGCGTCCGTGTGGACTCTGGACTTGGATCAACGGCCCCAGGAACAAGACGTGGAGGGCCTCCCTCCCTCCCCGCTGAGACCCGGCGTCGCCCTTCGGTTGCATAACGGCGCCTGACGGTTAAAACTGGGATCAAACCAGTGGCATGTACCTGCACGACGACTCACCTGTTCTCACCTGAATCACTTTCACATTCCAAACGTGACGCTCAGTTTCTTCTCGAGCGGCGTTTCATGAAGTTCTCGTGCACCAGCTGAACTTTAAACACACAAACTATGAATATTGTGACGAACCACAGCTAAACTGGTTTTAAACCAATTTAAACGTTTTGAGAGCTACACTGCTGCAGCTACTGCTAATATTTATAAAACTAATTCCTGTTATATTTTGCTTTGCATACGTATTTTATAAAACCTAATTCAGATTATTGATTTTGTTTGAACCTCATGAAAAGGTTTGTGGAAGAAAATTAATAGAGAATCCAAGAACAACAAAATGGCTGCCATTTTAAAACATTTGTCACATTTACTGTGTAGTTCAGCGTCAAATATTTTCAGCTTATAATAAAATCTCTGTACTTGTTGGCTACCGCTCGGCTAAGTAGCTAAATTTTTATACTTGTTAGCTTGCTAGCACTCAGCTAAGTAGCCAAATCTTTATACTTGTTAGCTTGCTAGTGCTCAGCTAAGTAGCTAAATTTTTATACTTGTTAGCTTGCTAGCACTCAGCTAAGTAGCTAAATCTTTATACTTGTTAGCTTGCTAGCGCTCAGCTACGTAGCTAAATTTTTATACTTGTTAGCTTGCTAGCGCTCAGCTAAGTAGCTAAATTTTTATACTTGTTAGCTTGCTAGCGCTCAGCTAAGTAGCTAAATTTTTATACTTGTTAGCTTGCTAGCGCTCAGCTAAGTAGCTAAATCTTTATACTTGTTAGCTTGCTAGCGCTCAGCTAAGTAGCTAAATCTTTATACTTGTTAGCTTGCTAGCACTCAGCTAAGTAGCTAAATTTTTATACTTGTTAGCTTGCTAGCACTCAGCTAAGTAGCTAAATTTTTATACTTGTTAGCTTGCTAGCACTCAGCTAAGTAGCTAAATTTTTATTCTTGTTAGCTTGCTAGCACTCAGCTAAGTAGCTAAATTTTTATTCTTGTTAGCTTGCTAGCACTCAGCTAAGTAGCTAAATTTTTATACTT